TTTAAACGCCACAACTTTTATCTGAAACATTTTTTTCTAAAATGCTTAGTTTTCGAGATATTTCACCGTTCCGGAACTTTTTCCCATCACTGTATATGTATTATACATATAATATATGACACACACACATATATATGTATACACATGTATACATATGTACATATATGTATACACATGTATATATATATATATATATATATATATATACATGTATATACATATATATACATATGTATACATGTAAATACATATATTATATATGTATTATACATATAATATATGACACACACACATATATATGTATATACATGTATACATGTGTACATATATGTATACATATATATATATATATATATATATATATATATATATATACATAAAAGTCGACAATATAGACAAAATTTTTATTGAACGTAAAAGAATATGATTCTTTATCCTTAAATTTTATATATATATATATATATATATATATATATACGTATATATGTATAAAGCGTTTAATAATCATATAATGAACAACTGTCGAAATTTTCACCATAGTAAATCTATATGATTGTGAACAGAAACAAAATATTATTGTTTTAGGTAATGAAAACTTCTATAGTGTACTTAAATTTCCTGCGAACAATGACTACATAAAATGTAGCAAAATAGGAATTGTGCGATGCATATTTTGTAAATATAGAACATATCGCATGTTTATCAGACAGCGAATAATTATTTAATAAACAGGATTGTGATTATATAACGCACACAGAAGCTTTTTCTACAACTAAATACTTAGCAAAGTTTAAATTCACAATGATTTTTCGAAAATCCAGGTCACATAGTACAATAATTAATAATTAATAAAATAATATTTACTCACTTTCATGTTTAAAACGTATGTGTTTTCTTTATAACTGCATGGTTATATTTGGTTAACTTTTTATTATTAAAAAAATGAAGATATAGTAAAATGGAAAATATATATCTTATATTATGTATGTACAGAACACATATATAAGACAAAAAAATAAATATTAAATAAATAATATAATGATTACATGACAGACGATAGACTTTCCTTGAACTCAATTCTTTTAAAACTTAGGTAATATTTTCAATTATTTTCCCGATATTTGTTCGAAGTATCTCCTATGTGCTTTCGTTGAAAGCCCAAGCATCTGTAAAAAACTAACAGGATAAAGCATCTGTTAGAAGTAATTATTGATTGGACGTACACTGGACACTCTTAAAAGAAAAACTTTAACGTGAACGTTCATCAAACACTCGAAGTTCACTCGAACTTCACTCGAAGTTGGCGCAGGCGCTACTTCAAAAGCGGTTACTCCTGGACACTGGCCATCGCGCCAGTACATCGAAAACTACCGCGAAGTGATGATGTCGAATTCAAAACTTGTACTAAGAAATGATAATTCCATTAGTTATTACGATTACAGTCTTCAACTAAATCGATGGTTCCTCAAACCAATCGGTGCTTGGCCAGAAAAAAATACGTCTAACGTGATTAAAAATGTTTTTGTACTTATACAGATTCTCATTTGTTGGACAATACTGATTTTCATATCGGGACCGTGCTTATTATATGTATTATTTGAAGCAAAGGACATCCCGTCGAAACTGAACGCAGTGGGTCCACTGCTTCACAGGATTATGGGCTCGGTAAATTATTTGACACTGCTTAAACGTAGGAGAGACCTTCGCGTTTATATGCAACACATGGCTATGGACTGGCAACTAATCCAAAGAATTGACGACCGTGAGATTATGCTACAATACGCCAAATTTGGGCGTCTCATTTCCGGGATTTGTGGAATAATTATGCAAGGCAGTACTATGCTCTTCAGTATAACCAAGACAACGAAAAAAGTACCTATCGTTGTCGATAATCAGACCGTGATGATGTATCCGATGGTATGTCCATCGTATCAAAAGTTTATTGATACGAAGTTTAGTCCCACGAACGAAATCGTGCTATCTGTGCAATTCTTGTCGACATTTATAGTGGGTTCTGCTACAGCGGGAATTTGTAGCTTAGCTGCTGTCTTCGCGACGCACGCCTGTGGTCAATTAAATGTGCTGTACAAGCGGTTGGATGAACTAGACAAGAAAGATGAGAAAGAGAACAAGCCAGCTGAACAAAAAATGATCATCATCGTGGAACATCATTTGAGAATATTAAGGTATGTCATTGGAAAATACCTCTTTTCCACGGGATTAAAATATATCATCATATAAATGTATATTTATTCAGTGTAATTTTACTTAAAAGTAGATACACTAGTCTCTATTAAAATGAAAGTACCATTTTTAAACATATTCTAGATAGTTTTTGACGTCGTATATTTGATAAAGAATATGATTTCATGTTTAACTTATTTAGTTTGTATACAAATACATATAATACTTTTTCTCCAAAAAACTTGTTAACGACGTTACATTTGTGTACATACATTTCAGTCAAATAACGCGCATGGAGAGTATTATGCACAATGCCTGTCTTGTAGAAATAATGGGAAGCACAATTAATATGTGTTTACTTGGATATTATTCCATTATGGTATGCTAAAGATTTTAAAAAATAAATGTCTTGTTGAATATATTCCAATTTCTTTAATTACAAATTCAATTGTAATTCAAATATATTGAATTGTATAACATGTATCATAAAAGATAGAAACGCAAAAATAGATCGATACAATTCTTATATTAGATAGGTACGAATATATTTTATTTTTTTTAGAATTGGGCTAATTTTGACGGGGCAAAAATAACATCTTATATTATAGTATATGTTTCGCTCACTTTTAATCTCTTTATATTTTGTTACATCGGCGAAATTCTCACAGAACAGGTAAATATATCTAGATCATAATAATATTTCTTCCTGCTTTTATCTTCACTAAAAAATATAATATATTATATGACTTAAGAAAAGCTTATTTATGTGTAAGTATCTTCATTTTAGCAAAGTTAAATTTTTATTTTTTGTTTTTTACACTCTAAAACATTTTTTAAGACTGTGTATCAAGTTGCCCAATGACCACAGAACATTTAAAAAAATTTATACCAATTTATTAGTGTAAAAATGTTGGACATGCAGCATACATGACTAATTGGTACAATTTGAATCCAAAAACTGCACGTGGCCTTGTATTAATAATTGCTCAATCGAGTAAAATGATCAAGATAACTGCAGGCAAATTATTTTCATTATCTATCGCCACTTTTGGAGATGTAAGTGTATAAATATTATCTTTGTCTTACTAATTAATTACAAATTAATAATGAAAAATCACAGCAGATTATGTATACTTGTATAAATTATTTTGCCTTCATATCTATTCTTGAACTATTATTCATTATATTCACGTATATAATAAACATTTATTCCATTAATTTAATACAATTCTATATCATTTAATTGATAGTGATTTTTACTTGAACTCAATAATTTAGTTTTATAATATAATATAATATGTAGAAAAAATACATTTTTTTTCAGGTACTTAGAACTTCCGTGGCATATTTGAATATGTTGCGAACGATGACGATGTAAAATATAATGAGATTATAGAGAAAATACTCAAAATATATTTTGTAACATATAATAGATAAATATATTCTCAAAGTATAATAAATATTAATAAACGAAATTATATATATGTATATATATATATATATTTATTTATTTATTTATATATGTATGTATGTATGTGTGAGTATGGGTTTATGTGTGTGTGTAAACTATTTAATATTCTTTTAGAACATTGCATCAAATATTTATAAGATGGTAAAAATATTTTAACAATGATTGAAAAATAATAGTAATTAAATTGAAATACATTTCACGTAATATACACAAATCTACGCTTATATTCATCTCAGCACGCGATATCCCCTCGAATGACTAACAATGTGAGCTTCTCGCGACTATTGATCGGTCATGCACACATTTGCTCAGAAAAAAGAATACATCAACGTAAGCGTACATTAAACTTCTGAAGATCCGGAATTGGCGCAAGCGCCTCTCTCTCTCTACGACTTCAACCATGGTCAGCAGAACGATGCTACCTTGCTACTGCGCCGTCTACTACAACAGTGCGTCGGGTGCTTTCGTAGAGCGATCATGACGGATAGAATTATATTAAAAAATATTGAATCCAAAAGCGACCACGATTACAGTCTTCAACTGAATCGATGGTACCTGAAACCGATCGGTGCTTGGCCACTAACGGGCGTAACAAACGTGGTTGAGAGGGGCATGGTGTTACTACAGAATCTAATCTGTTGGTCTATAGTATGTTTTATAATGATACCGTGCTTTTTATATGTGGTATTCGAGGCAGAGGACATCCAAACGAAGCTGAACGCATTTGGCCCACTGGTTCACAGAATCATGGGCTCGGTGAATTATTTGACGTTGCTTAAACGCCGTAGAGACATTCGCGATTATATACAACAAATGGAGAGAGATTGGCGAGTTGTTGAAAGAATCGACGATCGTGAGATGATGTTACAATATGCGAAATTAGGTCGTCTCATTGCCATAATCTCTGGAATAATTATGCAGGGCGGTACTTTACTCTACAGTATAGCCAGAGCAATGAGAACTGTCACTATTATTATTGATAATCAGACTTTAACGATGTATCCAATGACTTGTCCGTCTTATCGGAAATTTATCGATACGAGATTTAGTCCCACGAACGAAATTGTGCTTGTTTTCCAATTCATATCGACGTTTATAGTTGGTTCTTCTACAGTGGGTGTTTGTAGCCTAGCTGCTGTCTTCGCGACACACGCCTGTGGTCAATTAAATGTGCTGTACAAGCGGTTGGATGAACTAGACAAGAACGATGAGAAAGAGAAGCAGCCAGCTGAACAAAAAATGATTGTGATCGTGGAGCATCATTTGAGAATATTAAGGTATATTATTAAAAAACATAGCTTTTCTGCGCGATTAAAAAATATCCCGTATAAAAGTTTATTTATTAAGCATAATTTTATTTAAAAATGAATACACAAGTCGGTATTAAAATAAAAATAACATTTTTAAATGTTTACCAGAGCTTTTGGTGTCGTATATTTGATAAAGAATAAGATGTCATGTTTATTCAGTTCATATGCAAATATTCTTTCTGCAACAAACTTTTTTTAACGACGTCACACTTATATGTATATACATTTCAGTCAAATATCGCGCATGGAGAGTATTATGCACAACGCCTGTCTTGTGGAAATAATGGGAAGCACAATTAATATGTGTTTACTTGGATATTATTCTATTATGGTATGCTAAAGATTTAAAAAAATGATTGTCTTGTTGGATACATCCTAATTTCCTTAATTACAAATTCAATTGTAATTCAAATGTATTTAATTGTATAACGTGTATGGTAAAAGATAGAAACGCAAAAATAGATCAATGCAATTCTTATATTAGAAAGAGAAAGACAAAAAGTGAGAGAGGGCGAGAGAGAGAGGGAGAGAGAGATAGAGAGAGAGAGAGAGAGAGAGAGAGAGAGAGAGAAATAGGGGTGCAATTGTATTTAAATTTTTTTAGAATTGGGCTAATTTTGACGGGGCAAAAATAACATCTTATATTATAGTATATATTTCGTTCACTTTTAATCTCTTTATATTTTGTTACATCGGAGAAATTCTTACAGAACAGGTAAACATATTTAGATCATAATAATATTTCTTCCTGGTTTTATCTTCATTGAAAAGTATAATATATTATATGACTTAAGAAAAGCTTATTTGTGTGTAACTATCTTAATTTTAGCAAAGTTAAATTTTTAATTTTTGTTTTTGTACCCTAAAACATTTTTTAAGTCTGTGTATCAAGTTGCTCATTGACCACAGAGCATTTTTAAAAATTTGTACCAATTTATTAGTGTAAAAATGTTGGACATGCAGCATATATGACTAATTGGTACAATTTGAATCCTAAAACTGCCCGTGGTCTTATATTAATAATTGCTCAATCGAGTAAAATGATCAAGATAACTGCAGGAAAATTATTTTCATTATCTATCGCCACTTTTGGAGATGTAAGTGATATGTGTATAAATATTATTTTTGTCTTATTAATTAATTACAAATTATAATGAAAAAACACACCAGATTATGTATAATTGTATAAATTATTTTACCTTTATAACTATTCTTGAACTATTGTTCATTATATTCACGTACATAATAAACATTTATTCCATTACTTTAATACAATTCTATATCATTCAATTGTTCTTCGTTTTATTAATTGATTACAAATTATAGCGAGGACTTGCACCAAGATTGTGTGTACGTGTAAATTATTTCATTTTTATAACTATTCTTTAACTATTATTTATTATATTCAAACATATAATAAATATTTGTTTCATTAATTTTCTTACTTAGAACGTCTATATTTTTTAATTGATTGTGATTTTTAGTCATCCAATAGTTTCGCTATATAATATAATACGTAGAAAAAAATATATTCTTCTTTCAGGTACTTAGAACTTCCGTGGCGTATTTGAACATATTGCGAACGATGACTATGTAAAATTTAATAAGCTATAGAAGAAATGCTCAAGATATAACAAATATTTTGTAACAAAATATATATAAATATATTCTCAAAATGTAACAAACGTTAATAAGCGTAATTATATATATGTGTGTGTATGAGTGTGTGTGTGTGTGTGTGTGTGTGTGTGTGCGTGCGTGCGTGCGCGCGCGCGTGTATTTGTATGTGTGTAAACAATTAAATATTCTTTTACAATATCACGTAATATATTTAACATATATGGTAAAACTATTTTTACAATAATTGAAAAGTGATAGTAATCAAATTGAAATACACTTCACGTAATATACATAAATCTATGCTTATAAACATCTCAGCACGCGATGTCCCTTCGAATGACTAAAAATGTAAGTTCGTGGTAACTATTGATTGGACATGCACAAGCTTTTCTCAGGAAAAAGAATACATCAATGTAACCGTTCATTAAACTTCTGAAGGTCTAGAATTGGCGCAGGCGCCTCTCTCTCTCTTCGAATTCAACCACGGTCAGCAGAACCATGGTACTATCCTGCTACTACGCCGTCTACCACAACAGTGCGTCGGGTGCTTTCGTAAAGAGATCATGACGGATACTATTATATTAAAAAATATTGAATCTAAAAGCGACTACGATTATAGTCTTCAATTGAATCGATGGTATCTGAAACCGATCGGTGCTTGGCCACTAACGGGCGTAACAAATGTGGTTGAGAAGGGCATGGTGTTACTACAGAATCTAATCTGTTGGTCTATAGTATGTTTTATAATGATTCCGTGCTTCTTATATATGATATTTGAAGCAGAGAACGTCCAAACGAAGCTGAATGTATTTGGTCCATTGCTTCATAGAATTATGGGCTCGATAAATTATTTGACGCTGCTTAAACACCGCAGAAACATCCGCGATTGTATACAACAAATGGAGAGAGATTGGCGACTCGTTGAAAGAATCGACGATCGTGAAATGATGTTACAACAGGCAAAATTGGGCCGTCTTATTGCTTTAATCTCTGGAATAATTATGCAGGGCGGTACTTTACTCTACAGTATAGCCAGAGCAATGAAAACTGTCACTATCATTATTGATAATCAGACTTTAACGATGTATCCAATGACTTGTCCATCTTACCGGAAATTTATCGACACGAGATTTAGTCCTACGAACGAAATCGTGTTGGTTGTGCAATTCATGTCGACGTTTATAGTTGGTTCTTCTATAGTGGGTGTTTGTAGCTTGGCTGCTGTCTTCGCAACGCACGCTTGTGGTCAATTAAGCGTGTTGTACAAACGACTGGATGAACTCGACAAAGAAGACGATAAAAGAAACTTAGCTGAACAAAAGATGGTCGACATCGTGGAACGGCATTTAAAAATATTAAGGTATTTCCATCGAACATGTAATTGTCGGAATGCGGTAAAAGAGATTATTGTGATAAAAATCTTACATATTAAAAATAATTTTATTTAGAGATATATAAAGAGAGATCGGAGATCTCTATCGCATTAAACATTTTTAAATTTTCAAAAGTACATCTATGTAGTTACGTACGTTTCAGTTTTGTAGCGCGCATGGAAAATATTTTTCATAATGCCTCTTTTGTGGAAGTAACTGGAAGTACAATAACGATGTGTTTGCTTGGATATTATTCCATTATGGTATGCTGAAAACATAGAAAATCTCATTAGCTACTCACTAATTTCTTTAATTACAAAATTTAAAATGTGTTTAAATGTAGACAAAATATACAAATTTCACCCTTATGCTGTAAATAAGATAGTATTTCAATTTTTCAGAATTGGGCTAATTTTGATGGAGCAAAAATAACATCTTATGTTATCGTATATGTATCGCAGGGCTTCAATCTTTTTATATTTTGTTATATCGGCGAAATTCTCACTGAACAGGTACTATATTACGAAATTAAAATTATTTTATATTTAAATTATTTTATATTTAATTTTATTATAAAATATAATATTGCTATATTAGTAAAAAATACTCTTTTATTTATTTCGGTTTTAGCAAAATTGGATTTTAAATTCTAATGTAGTGTGTTGTAATATTTTTTAGATTGCTTACTAAATTTTCAAACACTGTTATAGAAAATTTTAAAAAATATTTGTATTTATTTATTAGTGTAAAAATGTTGGACAAGCGGCATATATGACTAATTGGTACAATTTAAATCAAAGCACTGCACGTGGTCTTATACTGATAATTTTACGATCGAGTAAATTGATCAAAATAACCGCAGGAAAATTATTTCAATTATCTATTGCAACTTTTGGGGACGTAAGTGATATAAACATATATCATTATCATAACAATATACATATATGTTGTATCAATAACAATTTTAAAGTTGTTTTTATTATATCGATTAATTATGAATTATAGTAATCTTGCATAACAAGATTAAATTCCTTGAGCTTATATTATTTATTTTATTGAAGTATATGATACATATATTTGTTTAATATAAAAAAGAATCTGATATATATATATATATATATAGGATTTAATCTGTCGATTTAATCTGTCCAGAGTGATTATATTGGATAGAGTTTTCAAATGAAAAAATCAAAATGGGAAAATTAATAAGATAGTACGTAGATAATTTCGTGTTGAGTCACGTTAATTTATGGAAACTCCTTTAAAGGGCGTTAATTTATGGAAACTCCTTTAAAGGGCGGGAGGGAGGAGGAGTCAAATTATTTTAACGGCATCTACAAGAATAATATTAAGAATAATATTAATTAATAGGATTCGAAAAACGAATCCAACAATCTATAATTTTATATGTTTAAGTTACTTTTTCAATTAATATTGCACTTTAGATCAAGGATTTAAGTCAAGAAATTTAAATTTAGTAAAATTCTATCTCATTTAGTAACATCCTATCCTATTTAATTAACTCAGATTAAATCGAACATCCTCTTTACTGAAAGTTTTAAAATTTATAATATTCAATAGTTCACACAATACGCTATATTTCCTATATTCTATGTAGAAAAGAATATATTCTTGTTTTAGGTGCTTAGAACTTCCGTGGCATATTTGAATATATTGCGAACAATGACCATATAAAATATACTGTGTTATAGAAAAGAGCAAGATATATTTTGTGGAAAACAGGTGACTATATATTCTGAAAATATAATAAACATTGAATGAATAAAGTTAAAAATTGTTACAGAAACAAATTTTTCCGCTATTAAATAATTCTTAAACATTACGTGATACGTTTAATAAACGTGATAAAGATATTTGACGCAAAATAAATTGAAAAGTAATACTTATCAGATTGAAATAATTTGACGTTACTTTCACGAATATACGCTTATAATTACTACAGTACGCGACAGTACAGTACAGTCTTCTTGGAATACCGTCAAGGTAAACTCCAACAAACGATTATTGATCGGAGATATTTCAGAGAAAATAATGAGTATCGTTGTAAGCGTTCATTATATTTTTGAAGTTCTGACGTTAGCGCAGGCGCGTCCCCATTCGAATAAAACCATTGTCAGTATGTACCGTCCTGCTTCAACACTGCTCACATACTGCTTGCAGCAGTGCACACTGCACGCTGCTCGCGACAGTACACTTTCGCGGAGCAATCATGGTAGAACAGAAACTTGTATTAAAAAATATCGAGATCAAAACTAACCACGATTACAGTCTTCAATTGAATCGATGGTACCTCAAACCAATCGGCGCTTGGCCACTAACAAGCGCGCCAAGCGCCGCTAAAAAAATCATGGTGTTAGTACAAATCCTCGTTTGTTGGGCGATAGTGTGTTCTATTATGATACCGTGTACATTATACGTGTTCTTCGAGAAAGTGAGCATCCGGTCGAAATTGGGCGCTATTGCTCCATTACTTAACAGAATTATGGGCTCGGTGAATTATTGGGTGCTGCTCCAACAAAGAGGCAACATTCGCATTTGTGTAGAACGCATGGAGGCGGATTGGGGGTTGATACGAAAAGCCGATGATCGCGAGGTGATGCTGCAGCACGCCCAGTTCGGTCGCGTGATTGCCGTGATCTGTGCAATAATCATGCAGGGCGGTACATTCCTTTATGGTGTAGCCAAGGCAGTGCAAACAGTCACCATCATAGTCGGTAACGAGACTATCACAATGCATCCAATGACGTGTCCAATATACAGCAAGATCATCGACATAAGATTCAGCCCTGTGAATGAGATCGTGCTGCTTGTGCAAATCATGTCGACATTTATAGTGAGTTCCTCAACAGTCGGTGTTTGCAGTTTAGCCGCTGTCTTCGCAACGCATGCTTCTGGTCAATTGAACATACTGTACATGCGGTTGAATGAACTTACGGACCAGAAAGAGGAAAATCATGTGACCGAGCAGAAAATGATTGGCATCGTCGAGCATCACCTGAAAATATTAAAGTATGTACTTAAAAATTGCATGTTTTAATGCACATTAGATGATATTACTTTATATATTACTTACTTAAAGATCCAAACATTCTCGTTACTTTAATAACAAATTAATGATCCTTTTTGAAATAACTGGAAGTATTATTTATCATCACCGACAAAAAAATATGAACATGCTTAACAAAGCAATATGTGAATATGTTTCTGCAAAAGAAAGTCAATTACATTATATTTTTGCATGTACATTTCAGTTTTATATCGCGCGTAGAGGATATTATGCATAAAGCCTGTCTCGTGGAATTAATGGGATGTACAATAATTATGTGTTTACTTGGATACTATGTCCTTATGGTATGCTAAAGTCTTGTAAGGAAATGGATATTTTATTTTAAGCATCTGTTTACAAAATACAAGTAATCTTTATTGAATTATAAACTAGATATCGGAAAAGGTAGACATCGAATATATAATTGAGAGATAAATAAATAATTATATTCCCTCTTAAATGATACGAAGAGCTCTGCATTTTAATTTTTTTCAGAATTGGGGTACGTTTGATGCAGCACAAATAACTTCTTATATTATAGTGTATGTATCAATGGCTTTTAATATTTTTATATTTTGCTACATTGGCGAGATTCTCATCGAAAAGGTATCATCTCGAAATCAAAATAATATTTCTCGTAATTTACTTGTTCAATTTTATTGAAAAATTTAATGCAATTCAATTATTATATAAAGTTGCTAAAGTGTGATATCTTATTTCTATACACGTGTTTTATTTTTTTAAAAAGCGCATATTTAGTATTGCATTTAAAATTTTTTAATATTCTAAAGCTGATTAACAATACTAAGAAAATGAAAAATATCCATATTAATTTGTCAGTGCAAACTTGTCGGTCAAGTGGCGTATATGACTAATTGGTATAACTTACATCACAAGACTGCACGTGGTCTCATCTTGATTATTGCACGATCGAGTAACGTCATCAAAATAACCGCAGGAAAAATAATTCAATTGTCTATTGCAACTTTCGGTGATGTAAGTACACAAGTATAGTGTCCAAAAATTTATTTACATTATGCTTATTTTTTTATGTATATATCGAAATACTATAGAAGAGAGAGAAGAATTCTCAAAAAAGATAAGCAATAAAAATCCTTACGCAACTTTTTGTTCTAAACGGTAGTTTTTCAGATAACTTAATTTTTTTCAGGTATTTAAGACCTCTATAGCATATTTGAATATATTACGAACGATGACAACATAAAACATATCTAAGTTAAGAAGTGTACAAAATATATATTTTGTATAAAGCATATATTATGTTGCTTCACACACACACACACACACACACACACACACACACACACACACACACACACACACACACACACAAAATACGATAAGTATTTCAAATTATATATTGAAATTGATTTCTTTATGTTTCAGTACTATGTACAAAAAAGTGAAAAATAATAAAAGAAGAAGAGCCATCAGTAACATAATTAATTTCAAACATATTATGTCACTTCAACGCACTTACTTTTATAATCCCTCGTAATACGCATAATATTCAGAAAATCGCCAACGCGCGTTTCTTCCGTCAAATTAATATTGATTAAATAACTCGTTCTACCTTTCTCAGAGCGATTACAGAAACATTGTCCTTTGCAAAACCTCTCTAAACGAATGGCGCAAGCTATTCTACTGAACATTCAACTATGCACTGACCATCGCAGTCAGCTGTGAACCTTCATAAAGCGATCATGTCGAGTCTTACGCGTGTACCAAGCGATATTAAGTCGAAATAAAACAATGATTATAGTTTACAATTCAGCCAATGGTTTCTCTTATCTATCGGCGCTTGGTCATAAACACGCACATCCAGCATAATAGAGAGGCTCTCCACAATAATACTTGTTCCCATTTGGTCATTCATAGTGGCAGTATATACATGTTTATTATATATATTTTTCGAGGCGAAGGGCATCCAAATGAAATTAAGTTCTCTCGGTCCACTAGTGCATAGATTAATGGTCTCCTTTATTTACTGGATACTACTCACATACGATAAAGATATTCACAAATGTATAAAACATATGGAACAAGATTGGCGCATCGTTCAGAGAATCGAGGATACTGAGGTGATGATGAAACATGCCAAGATGGGCTGTTACATGACCGCAGCTTGTGCTATATTCATGCAGAGCAGTGTATTTTTGTTGAATATACGTACAGTATTGATAACCGTAACCTTAAATCACAATAACGTAACCACCACGACACGTGCGTTGTCATGTCCAACGTATCGTAAGCTTACCGACGCGAGATTTAGTCCGGTGAATGAAATCATAATTAGTATACAATTAATATCGAGCTACATAATGGGTTCCTGCACAGTGTATATTTGTAGTCTCGCCATTGTGTTTGCAATGCACGCTTGTGGTCAACTGAACATGTTGTCCGCGTGGTTTAACGAATTCAACGAGAATAATACAAACTATGTTGCTGAACGAAAATTGGCCGCTATCGTCAAACATCACTTAAGAGTTTTGTGGTACTTTAATTAACTGTAATGCTATCACTGCATCTTATACATTAACTTTTATTTAAAAATAATTAGATATCTTGATTATGCTGCGCGATAAATTAAGTACTTCCCAAGATTTTATAAGGCATGATTTAATGCTGCAAAGAATATATTTCTGTTTAGTAGATTTAGTAGATTTAATAGATTTATGTCAGTAAAACAACACACGTTACGAACTAAACATATTAAAATTTAATAGATGAATTTGACGTTTTAGTTTCATAGAATGTATAAATAAATATTTATATATATAATTTTATACATATATATATATATATATATATATATATATATATATATATATATATATA